CCTGGTTAATTAGGACAGCAGATAGCCATGTGAGCAGCTTGGCATTACATTAGCTGGAGATGGCTTGGATTTGAACCAGGGCTCTGGGGGTGACACCGAGCTACCCGTTCATTGTTCAACTACCAAGCTTTTGGATATTTGTTCCAGTTGCCAGTACTTCTGCTGTGGGCAATCAGATCTTGCTGCAATTATTTAAACCAGACTCAGTGCTGGAAAACTATTTGCTTTAAATGCGTACTTTTTCAAAGGATCTGGTTTTAGCTATTGCCATTCTCCAAATATTAAGAAAATGAGAGGACGCGGTGCAGAACTAAGCTCTTGCCCAGAGCCGTTTTGCAAAGCGACAGCAGGAGTGTCACTAAGAGCAATGTAACTTTCATGGTAAAGGTCATACCTATTGCTAATGTGCAAAGGTATTTTTAGAGGATTTTAGTTTCTTCCAGGATTGCTTTCTACACTGATAAGTAGAGTGGTGTCCAAATAATCGAGGTTGTTGCTAGTACTGAAAGTATCAGTTCGATTCAGGTTGATTCCTGCAGCTTCTGAGAGGATTCTTATACCACATACTTGATACGTAAGGATCTGGGAGTTGTTTCATTGATTTTTATTCTGTTTTAAAACAGCAGACAAAAATATGTTATATCATGTTTCAGTACAGCTGTGGATGTAGGTGTTCTTCTATCTGTACACCTCATCTGTCAAATAATTTTTAATTTTTTAAGTGCATCAATTAATAACTTCTCTGATTAAAAAAATTGAAAAAATATTTCAATTTTTTTCATTGGAGGCAAAGAAATCTGTATTACAGCTGAGCAAGATGTGAACAACTTTTATTATGAACTTAAATAGCTTTGAAAACAAAACCAAACTAATGTTGCAGCACACAGCGATGTACACGATGCTCTGTAGCACAGAGACACAAATTATCATAACTCAGAAGATGTCCCTGTTCCAATTGGACAATTGTGTTTTATTACTGAGCGAATTCACAAAGGAATCCCTATGAAAGAAACCTCTTTAAGTAGCCTCTAATATAAATAAATGTGTGGTGAGTTCATACATTGCTTATCAACAGCTTAAAAGTGGACCAGTTACCTGCCATTTTCCTTTGCAGACAAGATGACAGAGAAGTTCCTCACTTCTCATATGCTAGTTTGCTGTGAAGCTGAATTACCGAGTTCATTTTATTCATTTCAAATTTATTTTCAAATTAGTTTGTGACTCTTATAGCGTGCTATTGAAGCAGGATGTTTTCCACTTGGACATACCAGTATTGGGGGAGAATACAGATTTGCCCAACATTGCATCAAAGCTGCAGGACAGTGAGGGTGTGCAGAGGCTGCAGGGTCCAGGAAAAGCAGCCCTGAACTGAGAGTGAGAACCTGACTTGGTCAGTCCTGCGATACCACATCCCTTCCCTCTCTTACAGTCAGAGAGCTTTGCATTGTATGCACAGGTGTTATTGTTTTGTTTGTTTGTTTGTTTGTTTTTTCCAAATGACAAGACAGCTTTATAACATTAAAAAGCTGCATCTTACCCCCACTACGTGTGCAAGAAAACTCAATGTGACCGATGGGTATTGCCTTCCCCATGCACCAACCCTCTCTGTGAGCAGCTGCAGCACAGCAGTGGGAGCTGGGTTGGACAAGCGTGCCCCTGCAGGCCATGGCCACCTCTCTGCAGCACTGCTTCCCCTTCCTCCATGGGCAAATTAAACATGCTAACACATCTGAGGTTGGATTTCTCTTTTTTTTTTTTTTTTTTAAATAAAATAGTAATTACTTCAACAGGTATTTAGGGATGGTTCTGTATTCCTAGCGAGGCTGGGTCTCAAAGAAGACAAGCATTAATTTAATTTGCCCAAATGGCTCTTGATTAGGTTTGCTGCTATCTGAAGGCAATAAGCTAATGGAGATTATGCAGAAGGGATTTGATCTAGCCCTCTAGCTGTTTGTTCAAGCTCAGCTACCAGCACCGGACATAACCAGCATCTGGTCTAATGAGCTACAGCGAGAATCCCGCTGATTGTATCTTTGTTGTACAAGATAACAAGGAAGAATCGGACTAAAGCAGACTTCTGGTGAATGCTGGGGGTGTAAATACAACTCTTGGGAGACAGAGGAAGGAAAATCTCTGTAGAAATAAGGATTTCTTTAAAATCTCTACAGTTTTTAAACTGTACCAAAAATCGTCACCATGGTTTATAATTTACATACAGCAAATCACAGCAGTTACAAGTCAATATCATAAATCAGTCTACAAACGTAACAGCTATTCAAGTGAAATACTTCATCTTTTGTGTATGTACATAAATCCTTGAGAATAAGACCGAAGACTAAATAAGGTAAAGGTGTGATTTTTCTTAAAACTAAATGATATATATATATATATTTTTTTTTAAAACAGCAAAACTAGATCAATTTTTTAAAAATAAATCTCTGCGTAGCTATGGCATTTAGGGATGTGATTTTTATTTGTAATTGACATGGTAATATCACCAAAATCTCTAGCACAAATAAAGTTATATTGACAAGCCTGCTTATGCTGGTATAAAATGTTCAAGAGGCAGGCATAAACTCAAGAAGCAGACATAAACTATGCCACTAGGCACTTTTTTTCCAAAATATTTTCCAAAGAGAAATTATTTAGCCTTACAAAAACCTTAAAGGTTAATCTCAGATTGCTAAAGATAGAGGAATTCAAGTGTACAGGTAAGCTTTATGTTATTGCCTGTGAGTTTACTGCAAGCATTACAAGAATTTCCGAAGCCTGTAGGTATCTGCTACCTCAGAACTGACCAGAGTAAGGCCTTTGAAACCTGAAGTGTCTTGTCATTATTTTCAGTTTTTTGTTTTGTTTTGTTTTTTAATGACATGAAGTTTAGAACTGAAATCCCACTTTGGTTCTTAATTTCAAATGTGAGATATTTGATACATCTGCTATAGTAGAACAGAGCCTGAGGAAACCTAAACTTCACAGGGACTTTAAAGAAGCTGAAAGCTATTTTTCTGTACGTTCTTGAAAAGACTGAATATTCTTGTGCATGTTTGAGATTCTTTCCTGTTTTTGTTTTAGGCTCTTCCTTCTTTCTTGTTCCTTTTTTTTTTTTTTTTTTTTTTTTTTTTTTTTGGTAACGCTGTTATACATTCTATGTGTGCTTACAAAAGACTGAAAATGCCCCTTAATAATAATAATTAAGTATAATACTTCAGGTACAGTAATAGTAAAATTGTAAGGATCACTGAGTGCTAAAAACCAAGGTCTCCAGTCCAGAGGAGGCTGAGGGGTCAGGCAGGCACCCTCTGTGCAGAACCATTCCTGAAGCTCTCTGGATGTCTATAGTTCTAGACCAGTAGCTGAGTAGCTTTAAGCAGTAAATTCCAAAGAAAAAGGGCTTCATTATTTTTTTTCCTCTCAGCAGTGCAATAAAATATGCTCTCTGAAACAAGATCTGACTCAAATTGCAGGTTTAACAAGGGCTAGTTTAAATAGGCCCTTATTTCAGTTTAGGTATTAAAGAGTGAATTAAATAAACACTAACTTGCGAGGGTGTCTTTCTAAATTCTGCATCCAAGAATAAATCAAGTCTGTCTTTGATAGATGCCGTCTGGTTTGAAACCAAATGACAAGAATAACAAGCATAGAAAATAAAGACATGATCATTAGAAAAAGTCTCAAGCTATCTGATTAATGGCACCCATTTATTATATGAAGTGTGAGAAAAAGACTCAACTCCTAAATTCACTGTAAATGCAAGAACTGACAGGCAAGTTGATCAATAACTTGCGTTTGTTGAGATGTTTGTAGGTACACTAAAAACTATGTTCTTCTCCAGGCTTTATGTTGAAGCTGTCCAGTAGATGGGGCCATAGAGTTATGCAAAAGAAAGTGAAATGAGTTTATTTTAGGAAGAACTCTCACAATCAGTGCAAATACGGCTTTGTTAATTCATGAAATTCTAATGCCAGGCAAATTACTTATTTGGTTATATCATGTTTTGATGTATGACTGATTAAGCTGTACTCAAATGCAGGTTAAAATGATTCCATGTTTGTGTGATACTGAAATAATTACAACTCTCAGTCAACAAAAACTACAGCAGAGTTTTTAATTTTCATTCACGCCACATTCCTTCCCAGGTATTGTACAGGTCTGAGATAAAGCCAAACTCGTGATGAAGTGGCACAGTGGAAGATGTTGGTCGTAATTGTAGTAAGAAAGTCCCACCTGTGGAAATGTGTATGCGGTGAGAGGAACGTGTTAGCGGTTCCTACAGAACACAAAAGGTGGCTTCAGGAGTGTAACTTGCATGCACTGCTTTTTCCTGCTGCCTTGAGATTGGTGCATCAGCTCCTTTTCAGCCTGTGCTCTGGAAAAGGATAGCTGGGCTTGAGAAACGGCTGTGGGCAGCCCTGGTGATTTCATAGCAGCAGATGTAAAAGTTTGAAATGTGTGTGCGTGTAGTGTGCAGCACAGTGTAGCCGAGCTCGTTGTTGTTACTGCTTCTGCTATTCCTTTCAACTAAATGAATTGCATAATCAATTTAATCAGCAAATTGCATCAGGTATCAGTGTAAGTGTGAATTCTGTTTTGCTGCACTTGCACAGCCTCCTTCCCTGTTGTGCCTTACCTGAAGCGAAACTCTTACCACTTAGCACATAAAGCTGAGCTTTAGATCAGCTCTGCTCTGCGAACAGTTCTCTAACACAGCTGAGGACACCCAGTAAAGTGACATATTTTGTCCCACGGCACCGATGGCTGTCGGTGAGCGTTGCAAGGCAGACTTTTTCCCCCTCAAAAACTGAAGCCCCCGCGTCCCGGGTGCCACGAGGCAGAGCCCCGGGGGCAGCTGCGAGCCGCCCCTCACCGTGACCCAGAGTTTGCGGCGTGCTCGGCGGCCGGTCCCGAGGCGAAGAGGGCTGAGGGAGCCCCCTCTGCCGCCACCGGGGGGCTCCTGGCGGTGGCTGAGGCGCCTTCCCGGGGGTGAGCCGCGCAGGCCGCGGCCGCCCGGCGCCGAGCTCACGTTTGTTTGCCCAGGCGGGGCGGGGAGCCCCTGCCCTGGGGGCGGTGCTGCCCTGTCCTACCCGGCCCGGCCCGGCCCGCTCCCGGCTTCTCACTGCTGGTACCTGCGGGCGGCTCCGCCCCGGCCCCACAAGGGAGCGCCCGGCGGGGGCAGGAGGCGAGCGGCCGGGGACGGGACGGGACGGGACGGGACGGGGCTGCCGCCACCCCGCGCAGCCAGCCGGCAGCGGCCATGGCCTTCGGGAAGGCTCCGAAGGATCCTTTCGGCACCGCCGTGGGCAGCCTGATCGGTGAGTAGTGGGGGAGCCGCGTCCCGCCCGGCCGTGAGGGGAGAGCCGGGGGGCGGCCGTGAGGTGGGAGCCGGGGGTCGCCGCTTCCCGCCCGCCTGAACCGGTCCCCCTCGGCCTTTCAGAGCGGGCGACGTTCGGAGCGCTGCAGACGGAGGAGTGGGGGCAGTTCCTGCACATCTGCGATGTGATCAACGCCACGGAGGAGGGGTGAGCCGCCAGGGTCGGGCCGTCGGGGCGCGGGGGGGGGGCGTCGGGGCGCGGTGGGGGCTCCCCAGGGGCTGTCGCCTCCCCCCCCGTACTCCTGAGGGAGGCGCGGTGTGCTGCTTTCCATGTTATACGGACAGTTCCTAGGTCGTGCTGTGCTGCTCGAGGGCAGGACAAAGTCAAGCAGGTGGCGTGTGGTGAGTGTGTGAAGTTGCCCAAAATGAAATAACAGCGGAGAGCAGGGATCTGTGCCTGTCCCGGTGGCTCTTGCTGATTGCCAAGACTCTGAGGGATTAGGCTTGGGGGCTCTGCCCTGTGCAAGGTGTTAGCGTAGGTTTCTCACCTGCGTCTGACGTGTTTCAGGTAACCCGTGCTGCTTGTCAGGCTGAACAGGTCCCCCCCCCGTGCTCTGCAAAGTCCCAACTGGGAAAAGACCTTGGGCATTTGTTCCCCTGCAACAACACGGTTTTAAACACTGCGGCCCTTTAACCTCAGCAGGGTTCCCCACGAGGCAGTGTTGTGAAGTGGCTGGTGCCTGCCCGCTGAGCTCCCCAGGTCTCGGGGCGCAGGTGGCCCTTTGCACCCGACAGCCAGGTTCTGGTTTGCTTGGTCACTTCCTTGCTGTCACCTGTAAAAGGGGGAGAAGAAAATTAACTCCTGTGTAAGAGCTCCTGCTGCCCCTCATTGCGAGCACTCACTAGCAGGGGCATATTTTAACACTGACTGGAGAGTTTTCTCCAGGGGAACAATGTATGCCTTAGTTTCTGCACAAGTATCTTCTTTTATACCAAATTTTCCTTCTTTTCATTTTTTTTCATGATTTCATGCTCTTACCTGGGACTCTTAGAACTTGGAGCGTCAGTAATAACTCCTTTCCAGTCGCTGCCAAGAGCTACAGCACTCTTTGTCCCTCTTTGTTAGTTTTTATGTGGAGTTCCTATGCAACAGAGCTTTTTTTAATAAACTACTTCCTCTTGTGTACAGCTTATGCTTACAGAGGAGTTCCTTCTAGGCAACTACTACTAGTCCCAGTCTGTAACAGGATGTAAGGAACAGCAGAACTGCTGTGTGTAATTAGGCAAATGGTTATTTTAACGTAATACCCAGCTCCTGACCAGAGCATTTCCAGATGCTTCAGAGAGGGAGCAAGAAGCAAGAGCGGTGTCGTAGTGTAGCTTTCTGCAAGGGGAAGCTTTCCTCTCCTGCTCCCATCCATCACATGCATTTTGACTTGATACCTGGTATGACAACTCTGTTGCCATAGGATAAAAAACATAAAGAAATCTTTTTTTCACATGAAGTACAACAGGTCTTTCAAACTGAAAAATGCAGTAGTACAAAGTACTCATTTACATTCAATGACTGAAATATTTTCAACAAAGAATTTTTTTTCTTATTGAAATATTCAATTTATGCATATGGTTTCATCTTAGATTTTAGAGAGATCCTAAAGAGGTTTTAGGACATCTTGTTTTTGTTGATCTTTGAGCTGGCCCTAATAGGTGTAATATCTGGGTACACTGTGCGTAGCCCATATTAATCAGTCAAAATTATTTCCCATGTGGTAAGCTTGATACCATCTTCCACCCTCTTCCTCCTACATAGATGCTTAAAAGATATGGGGTGTATATATAGAAATGAAAATGACTAGGATGGAGATGCCACTATCTCTTGGGTGGAATGGGTTGTCCGTCTGTACGTGGTAATTACTCAGATTAGTTAAAAGCATCCAGCAATTATAAGATTGGAAGTTAGCCAAGACACCCCTACTTCTTACAGCACTCTCAGGAGAATATTTTTGATCGCATCATATATGGAAAAATAGGTACCAGTCATCTCTTGATACGTTTGGCAATTCCTATTCCCTTTCATAGCACTGAAAGTTAGGTAAGTAAATCTATTGTACAGCAGTGAAATAGTATAATTTTGGAGAAGACCCTGCAGAGAAGAATCTTTGCACAGGCGCAAGAGTAACGCACAGCCTGCAGTAACAAACCTGATTCAGTGCTTTTTTACTCTAGCTCAGTGCTGAAGTGATTTTGCTGGAATCATTGGGGCAGTTACTCTGTTTTTATGTGGGTGTAAATACAGGGATGAATTTGGTTCCATATCTCAGACCGGTATTTTTAGATCTTGGATGAAGTTATGAAATAGAAAAAAATGTCAATTTCACTGGTAACCTTTTCTATTTAATTTCTTGTCACAGACCTAAAGATGCAGTTAAAGCGTTAAAGAAAAAGCTCTCCAAAAACTGTAACCATAAGGAGATCAGGCTTACCCTGTCTGTAAGTACAGCTATATTAATATTAATTAGACACTAAGAAGGAAAACATTTTAAATGATAAGATGGCATGCAAATTAGCACTGACGTGACTCTACAGGACGTTTTCTGTCTTTGTTGTTTGTGTGTATAGCACTACCAGTGCAGGCCAGATGGTCCTCTGGTGTTCATTTTTCCTGAATTTATCGTTGCTCTTTTTTAAGTCTGCACTGAATAGGAATAGTTTGGTTCGTATTTACTCCTGTGACTGTCCCAGTGTGAGTGCTCCACCTGTTTGTGAAAGATACTGAACTTGGGATATTACATAAAAGCCACATTTGACTGTTCTATTACTCACCTTGTGGTACTGATCTTGGTTAAACTAAGTATGCTGTGTTGTGTGGTGGAATGTGTGATACTCGTTTTACAAAAACAAGTGTTATTGCATACAATAAGAAATTTGAATGAAGGGAAAACAATGGTGAGCTAAGAGAGGCAATAAGACACAGGATAAGCCCTGCAAGGTTCAGATGTTATGACTGAGGGTTGGAGTGACCAGCAATATCCTCGCTTGAAATACATACCCTGGCCGTCAGAATATGACACTGTGTTTCAGCTTTCCCAGAGTTTGGGATTTTGGTCAATTTAAGATTTACTGGAGCACGCTAACACAGTTCTCTGTTCTCCACTGCACTGGTAATGGGGGCAGTAGCAAGAAGTTCCTAACAGTGTCCTAAGTCCAGAAGTCCCTACTTGAGTTGGTTGTGGCTGACAATAGTACAGTTGCGAGAAGAATCATGTTGGTTTTGTTTTAAGCTACTGTGGATTTGTCTTTCATTATTTTGTTTAGAAAAAAAAAATACATATATACACACACACTATAGATATAGATACACAATTTCCTTTTTTAAAAAGTGTCTGAGGGTATAAGGGTATAAGAGGCTTGTCTGCATTAAACTGAGTACTATTATTCACAGGTTTGGTATTTGTTGTGCAAAATAGTTATCTATATCAATACATGCTGAGAAGTGATTAAGGAAGATAAGTGATTGATAGTGTTGAATTTTAGGTCACTTAGCAATTGCCTAAGTGTCACTTGACCAGTTAGAGATGCAGATAAATGTGTTGCACATACCAATGTATACCTTCAGCTCATTCCACTTCCGCACTTCTTCCCTGATTTCCTCCTCCCCTGTCTCATGAGTCACCTTTTTGCGTGTTCTATGTGTTTGCATAACAGAAACACTCGTTTTCCGCTGCAGTTGTAATCCCTGTATCAGATCTGCATGCTTTCCTCCTACAGTCTTCGTGCACCTTAATCCTCTGAACATCTGATACGGTCAACTGCAGTTTTGATGGTCCAGTGCTTAAGATTTCAGAGTCTTTAGTTGGATATTTACTCAGCAGACGTGCTCAAGGTGCTCTTCTCAGAGAAACAAGAGAAGGATCGTGTGCCAGGTGTATCCAAGGAAAAGCTTTGTTGTGTTTACCTGGAAGCTTTTTGTATTTGCTTAGAGGTGGAGTGTGTACCGGGTTTCAGTTGTGCTTCTAGTTCAGCACTTTCTCACGGTCTCTGTACAGTTGCAGGCTCTTTCTCCACGTGTGTTCTCATCCACTCCAATGTACACATGTAGCCATGTCTGCCAGGCAATCACAGGTTTTTGGCCTAGCTTCTGTTCCTTCTCTGTGTGTTCCTTACCAATTTTTTTTTTTTAAATAAGTGCCAACCTTTCCTCTAACTCTTTCCCTGCTTTTGTTCTTCTGTAAGACCTTCTGTCCTTGCCTCCTTTCTTTTTTTTTCCTCTTTTTCTACCTGTAGTGCTATCAGTTTAGCACATGTAGAACCTTTCCTTTGATCTCATTGCTAGCCATGTATTACTTTAACTCCTTTGTTCCTAAATCAGTCCTTCTGTGTGCTATTTTTCTGTTCTGCTTTCTTGATTACATGAATTACATTGTTCCTGTTTCTCATTTTGAAATGCTTGGATTGGAACAATAAGTCATTGCAAGCGGAAAAAAAACAATTAATTTTCAGTTTCTAAAAATAAAAAATTAAAAAACAACACACAAGACCACCCTCAACTATTACCTTTTAAAAATCCTTCATTTTCTCTCAGATTTCTCCAAAAATGAGATCTCCTTTTTTAAGAGCTGTGCTTTAATTTAATAAAGCTTTGCTTTATTTCTTGTCTTTCCTGCAGTAAATGCTGTATTTCTGCTTTTGAGACACTGCATCGGATTGGCTTTACTACCTACAGTAGATGGAACTATTAGAAGGAAACAGATCTAGGAGCCACTTTTGCTTTGAAATGTTCCTTGCTACACATCTGTCTACTCAACTGTAAAATTTTGACATTTAGTCTTTCTAATGAAACTGCTTTCTAAAGGGTTTCCTTCCCAGAGAAGGTACATGGAGTGAAATGTGAAAGTCATTGTCTGAAATAGCATGACTGCATGGGTTAGCCCTGATTCTGTCATCAAGACGTGTTAAATCTCAGCAGTGTCTGCCTCCTCGTGTATCTTAGATGAGTATTTATTTACTTGCAGGAAGAAGGGTGAGTGCCAGCTGTATAATGTGTTGGCTGTGCCTTAACTCCGTGTACTCTGATCTAGGGAAGTTACCTGGTGCTTGTGAAGTCACGTGGATTGAGGTGTATGCATGTCAGGCTGTGAAGTTGCGTTGTGCTGTCAGTGATAAAGCCAAGTGATCAGGCTTGGCAGTGCTGATTTCACAATCTGGGAATAAAGAGGATTAGAACTTTTAGGCAGGAATCCAGCAAAATGTGTATGTGTTATCTGACTCCTTATGGTTAATAGGCTTTGGATATGTAAAATCTGTTTACGTAGTGAATGCTGAGACACCTGTTCAGATGTCTCTGTAGATCTCCCTTGATTTTTTTAAAGCATTTACTGCAGTGCTCCAGTTCTGAATCTTCTAAGGTCTTAGGAACTGAACATCACATGGGGGAGTCATTTATTAAATGTGTCCTTCTATGCACCTGTGTTAACACACATACTTACATTTCTGCCCACAGCTTTAGATTTAAGATTTTATTGCACTTTATGGTGCATATGGACAAAGAAGAAAATAAAAGGTATTGAGTGGGAGCAAAAGTAATTCAAGACATTCTGAAAAATCAGTGTTTTGAAATGCAAAAATATCTTTAAGGAGTTGGCACCTAGAAATAGCATCTGCTGTTCAAAACCTCTACTGGGTAGGGCATCACTACAAATTTAGTAGAGTATAATCCTGGAGAGGGATTGACAACTTACTGCTCAGAAATATTAAAAGGCAAACTGTTTGTTTGTGTTTCTTGCGTTCACATCAGGTTTAAGAGGTATTTGTTGCAGACTAAATCCATTCACTACAGCTTTTGGGCAACATATGGCTGCTTCAGATGAACAATTAGCCCTACTGGATTCTTAGTAAGGCCTGTATTGATAAGGAATATAGTTGACTTTTCTTTTGTTATCCTCCGTAACTTCTCCTATCATGTTTCTGCCATACAGTTTTTAACAGTTTGCCTTTTATCATCTCAGCTTTCTGTGAACCCCAGGGCTTTGCCTGTACAATTCTTCCTCCTTCCTGCTCAGTGCAGCTCTCTTAGCTGGATGTCTGATATCAGCTAGCCTGGAACATAGCAGCTCTGTCAGTTCCAGCAATCATCCAGGGGAAGGTTAATGAGTTGATTCAAGTTAATTTGCCATTTCTGTTATTAGAACATGTTTCTATTGAGATTCCGTTGCGCTATGTGAAGCACTGCTTGACTTGGCCCCCTTGGATCCATTTGTTCCAATGGAACTGCTCGGGAAGGTGCAGTCCTATTTGCAATGATAAATAACCATATTGAAATTCTAATGAAAGGTGTTATTAGTATGAAAGTGGCTTGTTCGTGAATGGTCCAGTTAAAAATAATTAAGTCAAATTCTTCTTTCTCTTACGCCAGCTTAGTTTCACTGTAAGTGGGCTGGACTGGCATAATTGAGTGGAGGATCTAGCCCATTAGCTTCAGTACTTTCATTCAGAGGGTAAATACTCGGTCCCTTATATAAAGAATTAATAATAGGGAGTAGCATACCGAATTTCCCATGCACTGGGCTGAAAATGTTCTACATAAACCATCTTTGAAGTGCTGCACAGGCAAATGACTTGGCTTATTAGCATGTGTTTCATGTACTCTTTCAAATGAAAAATAATGATTTGAGCCAAGATTTTTTGTTAATTATCTCTCAGTTATTTTGCACAGCAGTCTGCCAGTGTCTCTTTGTTCTACTCTCTTTTCATTTCAGCAATATATCTTCTTCTGGTCTTAAGCATCTTCTCCCATAAGTTCCTGATAACGCTGGGAGGAAATCCCCAAGTCCTGAGGCTGGAAAATGAGTTACTAAAATGACTTAAACGTAGCCAAATATAGTCCACCCTGAATAGGAAAGCATATTTAACATATTTAATCATGATTACTGTAGCATTCTTAAAAATCTATGTATCCTTTTGCAAATACATCCTGTCTATTCTATTACATGATTCAGGGGAAGTTTTATGACTAAAACCGCAACTTTTTACAAACTTCTGTGAATTCTGTCCTTTGCTTTCACTTTTCCATTCTCACTCTTAAAGTGGGAGAGAAAATAAAAATAAGGATGATGAGTTAAAAGCACAAGTGATTATTTTTCTTTACATGAGGCGTCATAGTCCTCTGGTTGGCCTTCAGATTTAAGCCAGGCGAGGTGAGTTCTGTTCCTAATTCTGCACATGATCCTATTGGCCTCAGTTTCAGAACAAATCCTGTATGGGGCTGATTTCAGGTGGCTGGGACATACTGAAAGCCTTTGATCGCTCTTCTGTAACATGGGAATTGCATCCAGCTACTTCCAGTGTACAAGGGAGAAGTCTTACATCACGGTGACATGCCTCTGTACTTGGTAGGGCAGACATGCTGCTTGCAGGGATCCCATTATGAGCATTCCAGGCAGTTTTTAAAGTAGACTCCTTTTGTGAAGATGAAACTGACAATTGGAACAATTCACTTGTTCTGCTTCAAATCAATGTGACCTTTAAAACACGTGGAGAAATTGTACTCTGAGTAGTTGAATTTGTTCTTTTCTGTTTTTTCATTAGTCTCTCACTTTAGAGGACAGATTAGAAGAGATACATTTAGATTCTGAAGAGCTCTCTGGGAGAAGAAAACAAGCTTACTATTAGACTAGGGTACCTGTTTGCTAGGCATTGAATTAATTCTGTTACTGAATCTGTACAAGTCATTTTTTCAGGCCATGGACAGATTTCACACTATTTAAGTACTGCATGTTCAGTAACTGCTGTGACATGCTTCTCTGTTAAAATAGTCTAATTCTGGGTAACCCATTTTATTTCCTGTATGCATAGGAATAGCAAGATATATGGTGAACTTAAGTTTCCTTCTAGTAACGTCCTCAGACAAGGTGGTGAGAGGGTTGGCAGTAGTCTGTTCATATCCATTAGTACTTTTTCTTCACAACACCTTGGAACAATTTAAACAAAAATAAACAGAAGCACTCAAGTTTTTCTGTTCATAGCATCTTTGTAACAGAAGTTTTTGTATGCACAGCTGCTTGACATGTGTGTGCAGAACTGTGGTCCTAGATTCCAGTCTTTAGTTGTGAAGAAAGACTTCTGTAAGGACAAGCTGGTGAAACTACTGAATCCAAGATACAACCTGCCAATTGACATGCAGGAGAGAATCTTGACCTTCATCATGGTAAGTCTAGAGTAAACAGTGATTGTTTTGTCTCTGCTGTATGGTAAAGATTTAATGATGCAGCCAACTTCTGTACTGCAGTGTACTCATGGGAACCTCTTCCTAAAGTGGACTTTATTCCTCTGCATCTGCTTCATGTAGGAGTAGCACAGAGTGAAAGACAAAAAGAGAGAACTAGAAAGAGTCCTGGGAAAATGTCAGCCTCCACTTTTTATGTTCCCCTCACAGCCTGTGTATGCGTTTCCTCTGTGGGTGTAAGCAGGGTGAGAGCGAACTTCAGAGCTTTGGTGGTGGTCCTCCTGCTTTAAGTGGAGTTAGTTGGATTGGGTGGAAGGAGAAAATGTTCAGTTCACATGGAGGGAATCACTTACCTTTAGGACTGTATGTTTTAGAAGGGCTTGTCTGACCCTACTGACCATCCATTTCTGTGACTGTTACTGTTATTTCAAAACCAGACGTGGGCTCGAGGGTTCCAAGGAATGGTGGATGTGACCGAAGTAAAAGAAGTTTATATAGAATTGCTGAAGAAAGGAGTGGAGTTTCCATCTGCTGACACCAGCACAGGGGGACCTAAGGTGGGGATACACAAGGATACTTCATTAAGTTATTGTAAATCAGAAACAGGATGTGTTAATTGTATGAGCTCTGTGGCACAGAAGGTGTGTTTGTTTTTGTTTTTCAAATGCTCCAGGGCAGAGTATGACCAAACTACTTGAACACGTGAGCAGAAATCAGTTTCAATTATAACAGCTAAGATAACAACAAAGAAACTTGGCCTATATACTAGTGTCATTTTATTTCAAGCCACAAATTAACAAATATGTTCTCAAAACAGAAGTGTGTGTCTCTTAAGGCTTCCAAAGCATTCGAAGAACTGCAATGTTTTCAACTAAAATAATTAAGATTTTCATGAAAGCACATACCATTCAAAATTTGAGCATTGATACAATCATAGAATGATTTGGGTTGGGAAGGAACTTAATGTTCACATGGTTCTATCCCCTCTGCCACGAGTGGAGACACCCTCCACTAGATCATGTTGCCCAGGGTTTCATCCAGTCAGCCCTGAACACCTCCAGGGTGGGAGTGTCCACAGCCTCTCTGGGTAAGCTGGTCCAGTGCCTCACCACCCTCATAGTGAAGAATTTCTTCCTAATATCTAATCTAAATCTATTCTTTTTTTGAGTTTAAAGCCATTACACTTTGTCCTGTCACTACACGCCCTGGTGAAGAGTCTCTCCCCCTCTTTCTTGTAGGCCCCCCTTTATTTATTGTAAAGCTGTAATAAGGCCTTCTTGGAACTGTGTTTAATTTTAACAGCTCTTAAAATTATCTGTGTTTAATTTTTAAACTGAGAGTGGTGTAAATCTGTAAGACATCTCTCCATTTGTTTGCACATCTTATACGCAATAATATTTGACCTTGTGGCTAATCTTTACCTTTGTTATTTAAGCATATATCATAGATACCATTGTGTAGTGTCTAGGATAAATTAAATGTAAATATGTTCTGAGTGTTGAACAGTGGCTGAAAATACAGTACATGCTTTACAACAATTCTCTCCAGAATTTGTCTTCTAGTAGAAGAGTTTTCACAAGACTTGGGAAAGTGTGAAAGCACTCACCATTGGGTAGAACCTTGCACTTATAGAATTAGTTGTCTGTAATCAGTATAGACAGGAATGATTCAATTACCATGAGTTTGATTTGATGACTGAATAGTGAAGTGTGCAAAAGCTCGGATATTTATAGCTGTTTGAACAAGCTGTATTGTGAACATTTGAAAGAAAGTGCTTTCACTGAACAATAAATCTTTCCCCACCGATTGCAGTAGAGACAATTCTGTGTACCACATATATCTGTCCATTAAAGTCAGTCGCAAACCTTCCGTTGATCTAGGCAGCAGCAGACCTGAATGCAATTTTTAGTTCAGTCTCTAAGAAATGAAGGACGTGACCTATGCAGTTTTGTGCAGGGTCTTTTTTACTGCAGTCAGTTCAACTGTAATACAAATGGAAACACCCCAACCTTGTCTCTGCTTCCAGGCGTAAATGTATTCTAAACTAGTCTTTGCTGTAAAATTGCAGTGGCACTTTAGGAAGGACTTTCCCTGTCCTCCCTGGCTTCAGAGGTCAAGGAGACAGCCTGTTCTTAGCCATTCCCATTTTATCTGTGATGGGATTTGCTAGCAAACCCATTTAAAAGATACTTGAATTCCAAGGCCTGATTTCATTACAAAGTAGCTATTAGATTTATTCTTATAAATAGACCTTGCTCAACAAATTCCCTGGGAGCATTGATTATGCGAAAGCTAATGCCCAGTGTCTAGTCTGACAGAGACGTTTTGTAGCACTCTCATCTGGATGTCAGTTTCAATTCTCCTGTTAAACTCAAGCTCTGCTCTTTTGTCTGTTAACAGTCTTCATCTCAGCATCCTACAAAGTCATCACCATCTTCTGCTAATCCCACCAAACGGACCTTATTGCCTCTTCCCACGGGCCCAACGTTACTGTTGACTGCTGAGCAGGTACATTACTACAGGTTTGGGGGGGAGGGGGAGTTTCTGCTTAAAATGTGCTGGTGAAATTCTCCTGAAGATGCTTTACCCACGTGGTGGTTTGCCAAAGCAAAGCACGCAGAAATCACTTGGATAAATGCCACGTTGTACCCAGCCAAAAAGTGGAATCATTTACTTGAGCATGAGAATTTCTCACGATCTCTTATGATGTTGTTATGCAAATCAATAAAAGTTACTTCTAAGATAAGAGAGAAAGCCAAACTTACTTTTGCATAAGACTAGTGTCTTATGCAAATAAGGGATTATTCTTAGAAAGAAAAGGACAGTTCATTTCTGTTCCTGCTTGGCCTGTAGCTAACTAAAAAGAGTAACAGTCTTCTCAATAGTGAGAGGCACTAAACGTGCAGAAAACAAGTAGTGTTATCAGATTTAGATCTTAGTGTGATTGGACATAGAAAAGCTGAGCTAATTCCTGTTTTCAAGGGATGTCACTGGAGTAAAATAACACTAATTAGCTATGTTATACCTAATGGGGAAGAAAGTACATATTAGAGGTAAGAATTATTCTGCTCACTCTGTTCACCTGCACAATGTTCTGTCATGTTGAACTGAACAGATTGGGAAACTGTACAGTGAACTGGATATGGCAAAAATGAATGTGAGAGTCATGTCATCAATATTAAAAGAAAATGTTCCTGGCTCTGAAAATCCGGATGATATGAATCTTTTACAGGTATGCACTAAATCTGTCATAGGAACTCTTTGTTTGGTCAAAGCTGATTGTAGAATATGTTGTACCCCTCCTCATAACATCTGGATTCAAACTGCAAAATGGAAACCAAACTCAGGTTTCAATCTCTGATTTTGCTCAGCTTTCTCTTGTCTCCTTCACCTTCCTCTGACATCTAGATAGTCGTGACAGGACAAAACAGCTTGCAATATAAATTCAAGCTCTAGGGAATTCCAAGGGCAAAGGAATTTCATAATGGAGCGTTCTCTGTTAGGGCTGTTTGACAGAACATGCTTGAGAACATTCCAGGTGAACGCAGCTGCCTTCTGGGAAAACAGGTGATGACACAATCTCTCATCCATCCTGGAGTTTGCAGGGCTCTCTTTATTATTACCAGTACCTTAAAGGCAAACTGAAGGGCAGTGAAGAATACGAAGCCTTGGTTTTGTGTGCATGACCTCAAAGATTGGGAGCTTGCTGTGCAATAGGTGAAGCCACGTGCTCTTTAAGTGTAGCCTGAAGGAAGCGTATTGCAATAGTCATTTAGATTTGATAGCAAATATACATACATTCTATTTGCTCAGGCTTTTTTCTGTTTTAGAGATTAAAAATGTAGTATTGCTTTAGCATTTCAATAGTGATTTATCTATTTTTGCTGCTTCATATTTTCTGCAAGAATTCAAAAAGCTTTTCTCACATCTTTCTGTTTCTAAACTTACCCCCAAACTTCTGTGCAAAGGAAACATTTTTGGTAATTTGTCAACATCAAATGCATTGAAGAACTGATGTAATTTTTACAAGCCTTTGGTGTGGTTGTCATGCCCCATGGAGAATTATTCCTTCGCAAGGAACTTGTTATTGGGTACTATTGGTTTGCCTTCAGGGTTGTGCTGTTCAGCTGTGTCCTTTTATGGATGGGTTCTCACTGAGATACAGAAAGCAGTAGTTGACCCTGTGTCTCATCGTCAGTGACGGGCAGCACTGCTGGCCTGGGGGAACCAGACAGGAGACAATCCATCTCTCAGCTGTTTCTGCTCCCCTGGAAATTCCTGACATCACCACCACTGTCTCTTCTGCAGAGCTCTGTGGAGCTGCTGGTCCAAGGAGGTAGAGATGAAACAGAAAAAGTGTCATTCATTTCTTGGCTCCTACAGCATGGCCCTTCTGCATGTGGGTACGCATATTAGGTTGCCCACAGCAAGGCAGTGGATTCTTATTGGCACTCCCAGTAATAAAATTGTTGGCAAAAGGTTGAGGACAGGGTGTGGAGTTCCCATTTGTGGGGGAGTGCCTAAAAACTCATTCCTTCTATGTTAGTTTCACTGTTCTTTTTCTCCACACACTGAGTGGTACGGAAGAGCAAGCATGGCTAGCCTGTTTCTTTAACTATGTTTAATGTGCCCATTTGTTTGTAGCTCTACCTGGATCGCTTGGATTAGGCTTTTGTTGTTGGAGAACAAAGTCCTTTATTAAAAGAGCTGCTTGTTTAGGCTTTGAGTGAGTTGGAGAGATGAATATCAGTCCTACTGAGTATCCAGGGTTTCTTAATGAAAAGGTTAACAGGGTAAACTTTATCAGTGCAGCATACTTTCAGTTCTGTAGCTTTGTTAGTGACTAGCTCCTCCCTTTCTCCACCCTGTTCTACACAAGGCTTAAGATAGCAGATTTCTCTTGAAATACTATGCTTACCAGTAAGGAAAGTTCAAGAGCAGCTGAAAGCCAGTATCAACCAAAAGAAGTAACTAACACTTGTACTGGATAGGGAATAGACATACTTGATGGACATGCAGGAATTTAGGTCCAGATCATCAGCTGGTAAGCATTAGCACAAATACATTGGAATCACTGATTTTATATCAGCTGGTAGTCCATTGTTGTAACACTCCAGTTTTCAGAACATTAGAGTACATGCTTCATGGTGAGTAGGAGCAAAGCCTAGCAAATTCATGCTTGAAATGAGCGTCTCAATTTACTACCTATTGCATATTGATTTTTTCAAAGGAACCTGTCTGCCTGTATAATAGATCCATAAGAAATACACATTTTGGAATGGGGTTAATGTAATAAGGTGTGGAGTTGAAGAGGTTTAAAATTTAATTACATGCATTAAACTGAATACATTTTTGTGTGTTTTATCCTGGGCTGTGAAAATATAATACCAGGAGATACAGTACTGTGTCATCCTTACACAGATTTGGCTAAGGGGCATAAAATATCCATTTACACAAGTTTCATGTAGATTTTTTTGTGTATATGTTTTCTGAGAAAAATCAGATCAGTTTGAAAATAATGGCAGAACACTTTTTGAACAGCTGTGTGTAAACAGAGTAAGTCCTGTCCCCCCACTTTTTTATTTTTTCCTTAAGCAGAGCCAGGCAGCATTTGCAAAATCTGCTGTGGAAAAAAAGATTTTGGATGAGATAAAGCTCTTGATGCTAAAGAATGTGTTCCTTTGAACATGCAAAATCTGCAGGGGGGAGGAATGTAAATAAACTAACTTCCATTTCAATTGGCAATAATGCAAAAATCTACTCAGTAAATCCTCATACATCTCCTGTCAGCTGATTCTGCTAGGTTTGTGTAGCTTTCTCAAAAAGTGCATGAATTAAGTGCATCCAGACCTCCCCACTCAGAGGAAGAGGCACAGACTTGTGTCACAGAGCACTTCTGTCCTGTACACTACTATTGTCTTTTCTTCAAGCAGACGTTGAACCAGGATCACGTTTGTTACAGCCATGTGAAGTGTCCTACTGTGTTTAATCAGCTTCAATCAGACTCAAATCAAATGTGCTCTGCATCACCCAGAGGGGTCTTCATTATTTTGCAATTTGAAATTTAGACTTCAGAGACAGATGGATCTTCAGAAATGAAGGTTGTAGGTAGGGGCTCCATAGGGGTAGGAGTGCTGGCAGTGATGGTAGGAGTTGTCAGCCTGGCTTTGCAGAGATCAAAGACATGAAAATTACGCTATTTGCAACTCTTGGTATGTGTGTGGTTTGTATAAATGAAGGGAAGTTACCTGTGAGTCTGCAGTACTCGACTGTCTTATCATTCTTCTCCAGAACTGACAAATTAGGAGACCACAGTTGTGATTTATTTTTTTTTCTTCCCCTCCCTCGGGCAGAAACTGTATAAGACCTGTCGGGTGATGCAGGAGAGAATCATGGAATTGTTGGTTACAGTGGAAAATGAAGATGTGATAGTTGAGTTAATACAAGTAAATGAAGATCTGAATAATGTTCTTCTGGGACACGAAAGGTAAGTACAGGGTCTCTCTTCTCACATTTGGTGTCCTAACTGGATAAGCACGCTTAATGGATACAGGTGATCTATGTGACTAATGCTGAACCTTTATAAGGAGACATTTCTTTCCTTAAATCCAGAAAAGAAAGTTGACAACAAAAGGAGAAAAATGTTTATTTACCTTCCCCTAAGCACTTCAGAAGCAGTTAATAAGCTAGTTAGAAAACTATTAGAATGTGGTAAAACAAGTTAACAGCATAGACAGGAAATTAGGTGGAGGCACACAAACAGAAATAATTTTAGAATTTGATGCTCCTTTCTGGTTGAGCACAGTGAATTTGCCATCAGTTTGCTACAAACCCTTTGGTCCTGGTGATGGTCCTTACTTTTGCTACATGTATACACTTCCAGGAAAGAATATTTGCTGTCCTTTCTGAATAACTTGGACAGCTTTACTGCAGAAATCAGCCATGGAACAGCATTCAGTTTTATTGCATGCTTAAGAGAGTCACTTGCTTTTCTCAACTGAATTGAAACAAGCTGTTCTACCTGCCTTACAGCAGAAAATGTTTTCTTTCACGCATGGAAGCACTGCAATACTTGTGTTGACATCATTTGTATTTGCCTGTTATATCAGTGGTAGCATGAATAGATGCTAGCAAAAAAAAGAAATCAAATTTAAACTCAAAATTTCAGTATTATCCCCCAAAATATCACAGTGAATATACTCGTGGAGTACATTCTGGTTTAATAGGAACTAGCCTTCCATGTTAAGTAGTTTATGTCCTCCTTGGCTAGGAAATATTCTAGAAATACTTTTGTACCAAGGACAATGGTTCCAGGAACAAATTATAATTTGCTTTATGCATGTGAAAAACAGGATCTTCTAGGAAGACCTGAAGAGTTCACTTACAGGGTTTGGGTGAATTTAAGTCCATTACATATTCCTCCATCTCTTACTTCTTATGTCAGTCAATAGATCGGCATTAAGGAGACAAATTTTTCAGGTAGCAGTCCTTGTACAGAATGCTATAAACTTCCGACAGGTGTTAGAGGTGAACTTACTTCCCTTTACTTTGTTCTAAAACTTGGACGTATGAGAGAAATGTGTTAGAAGGTATTCATGTAGTGCAGGATAGAGGAAAGAAAGGGCATTCCTAACAGATACTTACCTTACCTGTAGTTTTTAAAGCAATGATTTTCTAAGACCCTTGTTTAAGTCACCAACACAAAGCAAGAGGCAGGAGTTTAACATGCTTCAAAAAGTGCTTCCAAGGTAACAACTAGCTACACTGCTGCCATTGAAATCCTTTCTCCTTCTGAGCAGACAGTGAAATTCCACATCTTTATTCTTGTTCTTCAGTGTAAATGAAGAACTCTGGGCTCAATTGTGCTCCTAGTATCATTCCACAGGGAGAAATTGCATGCTCTAAGATCTATTTTAATTGAAATAAGCATTTTAAATATTGCAGTATGTGTTCAGAGTTGGGATGATTCCTTTGAGACGCATAGATGAGATACTGTGAACAAAAAAAAATGTAGTAACTTTTTGGTATCAGGCTTCATCTTGAAGGTCAGAGGGCTGTCAGGAAAAAAAAGCATTTTGTAAAAACGTTGGTGTGGCCACTTGACAGTTGTGGTTATGACTATGCTATAAGAAAGCCTGGACCTTCAGAGTATTATCACTACCTTTAGTATTCAATTTATTACTCATACATAACTTTTCTCTGGAAGACTGCTGACATTCAGATGTCTTAATGATTAAACACAATAGATTTAGAGAGCTTCATCAGCTTTTCTTTTTAAACCTCTTCTGACTGCTACACTGAAAACCTGCTTATTCCTCTAAGTGTCGTGGCACAAACTTTGGGCCTAATCTTGACAACATTTAGTTTTCACTTATTCTTGTGTCTCTAGCAGTGTCGTCACATCTTGCACTAACTCTTGAAAGAATTCTGTGTTCACTTCTTGCTTTACGAAGTGTTTAATTTTAGTAAAGCAAAAATAGAATTCTGTTGAGCATCTGTAAATCCATGTGAGTCAGGAGTGGGGTTATATTTTTAAGACTGAAGAATGCTAGAAATGCCAAGAACTTCTTGAATTATGAACAAATCAAAAAATTCCTTTTAGAAGACACCAGGTGATTGAAGGAGCAATTATAGGCCATTGTGAAACTGGACAGAACACTTCTGCATTTTAGTACTGTGATGTTAGGGGTTGCATGTAGCAGGTCTTTGTGAGTGCAGATGCATTTGCACTTTACAGTTGTTTAAGCATTAAAATTTCATTAGTGTTTGTTGTGGAAGATTTGTTTTTGGAACTCCCTCTGAACAATGAGATGTGTAAAGGACAATCTGATTTTAACTAGCTGCATCTGTTTCATACTGTGTGCATTGTTTGAAGACAAGTCATGCTGCATTCTCTGTTTCTGATTGTTAATGTAGAGTCCAAATTAAGTCAGGAGCAGTCACTATTGTGCAATAAACTGGCCTCATATATATGTAACAATAACTCCCTCTAGTGGCCTTAGCAACTTTTCATTACTTAGTGTATTTCAGATAAATAGTTGTTCTGCAGTTTGTTTTTTTTTTTTCTTCTGCTCCTCCCTACATATATATTATCTTTGTGGGACTCACCAGTATGGTAACCCTGAATACCAGGCGCAGCTGTGTGGACGGACTTCACGTCCATGCCCCCCTAAGGATCCAAGACCCTTGCTTCTCTAACAGATGGGCTGTACAGGTGCTGAGTCTCACCTGACTGGGCCTCAGTGATCACCTTCTTGGGACACAGTTGGTCAGAGGGAGCCAGATTTGTCACAGTGCATGTTCACCATCAGTTGTCTGGTATGAACAGAGGCAAACTTTATTGTCAGCTGTGCATTGGTTTGTTTTGGAAGAAACAGATGGCTGTCTCCAAAAGTGAGCCCAAGGACAAGCTAACCTGGTAGTGTAGATTATTAGAGGACCACAGCCCTGGAGTAAAATGAATCAGATTTTCAGCACAGCAGTGCCCCAGAGAAAAACACCTGTAGTGCTTGTCTGGTGTCTATCTGCAGTCCTTTGATAATCAGACTTTGGTTGCAACTGCCAGCTTCTTACGTAGCACATTTCTGTAATGTCAGAACAAACCTCTAGCTTTGTAATTTTAACAGGTTCTCTCGAAACAGAGTTCGTTTCTTGGAGAATCAGAGAATACAGCGTGAACGTGAAGAGGTGAGTAACAATATGTGAAGTTGTGAGCTGTGGGACTATAAACATCCCTATTTCTGTTCACTGTGAAAAATATCTTTCAAGTATAAGCAACATTTTATTCTCTAATTGAGAGGTATAGCCTGCTGTCTTCAGCAGGATGATACTGCTCTTACTGATTTTCAGAAGTCTCACTTGCAGAATTCCATGTAAATTTTGTAACTAAAGTAACAAACAATGTCAAATCTCAGATGGAAGCTTGATGGAGAAAAATGAGGCAAAGAGAAAGAGAGAGATATTCAAATTCCATTTTATTACCTCTGTAGCTAAGCACAATTAGTTATCTGCCCTATATGAATTGGGGAACTATGTTTTATTTCACTTTTTTGCTGTAAGTATTTACGTACCAAAATACTACTAAACTATCAGAATTCACTGTTACTGATGTTTTTTTTCTCTCTGTGAAGTTGAAGCCTTTTGAGTTGTGAATAATGGCTTGTAGCAAATCCGACTGTCCTTTATCGATTGATCATTATGGTTGTTAATGGTTGTTAATTATATTGCCCAAAGTAGTTTTGCATGTTTCAGCTTCTCATAATTGAACGGTCATCTAGGGCTCAGAAGGAAAATGACAGCATTGTGAATGCTGAAATACAGCTGATAATTATTAATGAAAGGTAGAAGACAATCTTTTTTCCCTTGAAAAACTGCTGTTACTACATCCTGGTTATGTAGGTAGATGTTTTTGCTTGATGAATGGACTGTTGGATTAGTTAGTAGTCCTGATGGTGCAGTCTGTGTATTTTAATATTAATTCAGGCATCTCCAAGTTTAAAATGCTTTTTTTTTAACTGGTGTAACCAAACCCATATGATTCAAGCATGTGGTTTTTATTAAACTCTTTGGCTGTGCTTTTAATTCTCTCACATTCACATGAGAAACAAGGGAAACCTTTTTTTCTGTGCTCTGGGAAATTCTGTGATTTCGAGCTCTTCCAATCTGAAACAGGACTGAAAAAAAAAATCCATTTCTTAAGTATTTACCAAATCACAATAACACACATAAGTAATATGAATATAATTCTACAGGATTAAGCAGAAGATCCATTTCAGACTTCTATCTGAACAACCTTATACTTTGGAACTGTGTCAGTCCCATATCCGACTTTGAATTTTCCTAAATTTTTGAAATGGCAACCTTGCTGAAGCTCATGTTTTCTAGAAAGCTTTTATGTTTCATTAGTTATCACTTCCACACACACATACAATTAAATTGCTTATTTAAAATTATACATGTTCCTTTAAAAAATAATAATAATTTATCCCTTTTTAAATGCTAAGCTGTACAGGAAACAGCCATCTGCTCCCTCAAGTGATCTACTTGACCTCTCTACAGATCTTCCACGTCCAGTGTCAACAGTGCTGGGAACTGACTCTGCAGCCTCTCAGTCTTCAGGCCTTAGTAAGTGATGAATGTATATTTCCCTTGCCGGCTGATTTCCTAAAGTAAACCAACACAAGCTTAGTGGAGGGATCAAGACTTTGCTTGTAAGAGAGTAAACTAAGATACTCCTTAATTTGAAGAAACATGAGGATCGATGTGCATATATATATTTTAAAAAAAAATAGTATAAGGTTCCTTGTAACTAGTTTACAGTGGAAGCAATAATCTTTCTCCCACATTTCTTAAATTTGAAAAAAAAAAAAAGTTTTCTGTAAAATAAAGCTCTTGAAACAGTGTGGTAGTTGCTTGTTCTGTTGTCTTGGAAGAAAGAAACAGAGATATGCTTTGCTTGTACTCCCTTGATTTCTTAATTTTTTTCAAGGAGGCACTTGATGTTAACAGCAGTTCACTTTGAGAAACATATTTACCTCATCTAACTTTAGGCTTCTTTCATAGTGAAAGGAGCAATTAAAGCTCCAAACTTTGGTACTCTGAATTACTGATTTCAAAAGTCTTCGTCTATCCACTCTTTAGGGGTATCCATACACCTAAGTTAAAGGCATGAATATGTTCCAAAAAATAAATGCTTATAATTCTATTTTAGTTTTTAGAAATAGTGAAAGGAGTTTAAATTGGTATCTACCATATATAGCACTGCTGATGTTCTGACGATGAACAAGAAAATAAATATATTACAACTAATATATTATCAGAGTTGTTATAATTTTGTCTTTCATGCAGTAAACAGAATTCATTTCATATTCTTGATATACCTTCCAAACAAAACTTCATTCCTTCAATGATCGTAGTGCAAGTAATGGAACACTTGATTAATAATGTTTAAACAATCATTAAGTACTGCTTTGAATTTCAGATTGCATATCTGCACACCCTGAAGATGCAAGAAAGCACCATCCGTCAATTTATCCACAGCTAGATTTAGCAACTACTACAAAAGCTCAGCAATTCCCGTGAGTAATCTCTTACCAAGAAATGGTAGCAGGTAAAAAATAATCAGAGCTATTAGCCCTCTGTAATTGATACCAAATTTTCATAGTAAGCTCTGAGAACAGAGTTATTTAATGTTTCTTCTACATGTTAGTCAAGTAAAACAAGTGAAAACTACCTGTATGCTAAATATACAACACCTGCAGCACTTTTTAAATACTGACAAACGTAAACTAAGTTCAACATATTTGGGATATATACGACTTTCTGCTTGAGTCTTACCAGTGCTGTGGTTAAAGGGAGAAATAGATGAATGGTATGAGTCAAGAAGAATGGTTTTAAGATAGGAAAAAGAATCCTTGTGGTTTCCCACCTATTAGGTAAATGGGACACTGGCCCACTTGCTCTTGCTGCTCATAGTTGTGACATATGGTGAAGACAAACCAGCTAAAAATAATAATGCAGTTATTGTGATATGTAGTTTTAATACGTTGAAAGTAACTGAGAAACTATTGCTCTCTCCTAGATTTACAACTGAAGCACAAAACAATAGTGGAATCACCCCAGCTGGACATATATACAGCAATGTGAGTAACGCTCATGTTTGGAATAATCTGTCCTTGCTGGCAACTGTCGTAAGAAGAACTGTTTGGATTTACCCTGACTGCTGTCCAAATGCGATTTAAAGATCTGCTCTGTGGCGCTTCTCCAGACATCAGGGAATGCTCTGTATTTGCTGACCAGGCCAACTTTCCTGTGGTGATACCACAGGTACCAATGTGGAAGCGTATTTTTTAGGTCTAGCATAATCTCAATGGAGTTTGCAAAAAGTTGCTGTGTTGTTTGTGTTTAATCTGTTACTGTGTGAAGCAAGCTGCCATCTCTTCCTATTGCCATTATATTACTGTGGTGCATTTCATATCTCAATTAAGCACCTCTAAAAGAAATAAATTAAAATTCAAATACAACATAGGACAAATGCGTATGCTGCAGACAAAAAAGCCGTGACAGAAGGAATACAAAGAATATGAACGGGTTTCAAGGTATTGTTTTGAATTTGTGGTAGGCAGTATGAAATAGAAAAGCAGCCCCACAAGCACATACTCATACTCCTTATTTTAAACTGCAAGTAAAATGAGACAGCTGTACTGCCACCTGTGTGTAGTGTAACAAATTACACAGAAGTAAATTATACAAATGTGCTATATATAACGCTAAAAGATGTTTTGAACTTCATTGTATGGGGAAGGGAGGTTAATTAGATTTATAACTCTTGACCTGTTTTTGGAATTTACTTGATATAGTCTGAGAGTCTAAAGATAAGTCAGCACTTACGCAAGTTAAGTCAAACAGGTTCTCCTAGATCAATCTGTTTATGTACTGTTTTGCTCAATTTCCTCAGCTGGCAACTCTTTTAAGCCCAGTGCCTCTGAATCCAGTAAATCTGCAGACTGGACATACTACATCATTAAATGGATCGTCACCAGCAGGTAATAAATACTGCAGACCTCTTAATTTTCACAGAAATCTATTTATTTATTTTTGTTAGCACTTAAGTGCTTTATATAGTGCCTGTTAAAGACTAGGAGCAGCAACAAACACTGACAAAAATCTTACATAGCTCGTGGCTTCTCTGCCCATTTAAAGCAACTAGATAAATGGGAGAAAATCTGCTAGTTTCAGAAAGATATAAAAAAACATGCAATAAGTGTTCTTTCAGTCACATTTCAATCTGCATTTAACTGTCTTTACCCTTCAGCCACATCAAAAAACAAGTCACAGTCACCTCATTACTACGAGATAATGGAATTTGATCCTTTGGCTCCCACAGAGTAAGTAGCTTTTAAAATAGATAATTTTCAGTTCTTTTAGGTGCCAAACAAGAATTCTGAGATGTCTTTTTCTTCTGAGAGAAGACCACACTATTCAGAGCAAGTTTGCTGACCAACTGGATTGCTAATATAAATTGGAGATCTTTAAAGGTCACTTCAATGCAAACCATATTATGATTCTATGAGCCAACCTAATTTCTGTTCAAGATGATCTTGTGTTTTTGTTTTTTTTAAATGTTCTGCTGAATCTCAAGGAAGTTCTCTATTTAAAATACAAGCTACCTATGGGAATGGATTTGAGGAATCTCCAAAGGACCAAATAGGCAGAAAACTAGTAAGAAACTAAAATTGTCATTTTTAACAGTAACCTGAGAAAAAAAATGGAATCATCTGCATAAAACTTACTTTGAGAAACCATCAAATTCTGAGGTAGAAAAATCTCAGCAAGGCTTTCTTTTTTTTTTTTTTTTTTTTAAGAAGTGTAATAATTACATGTCTCACGGCATGCAGGCCATTTGTATTTTGCAGTCACGTTTCCAAGTTCATTTAATCAAAATTGATGATGTCCAGAGATTCCTCCTTAAACGTATAGTCACAAACACACCATAGGACTGGTTCTTGCTTCTGTAGAAAGCCAGGCAACCTGCTACTCATGTTACCTTAGTAGGTAAACAACTTAAAACTCTTGGCAGTTCTTTATTGGGCAGGATTTCATTGGTGCATTTTGTCTAAATAAAACAAAACTGTGATGTAGGAGTTGCCTGTTCTTCTTTCAGAGCTATTTATGAAGAAATTGATGTCACTGTGCTGAAGCCAGAAGTTAAAAAGGATACAGAATGCTGAAGAGGGAGGTGAAGTCTTTTACTGAGCACACAAGTTCACAAGTTACTCTCTGATGCTGGTCCTGGGCACTGCTTCCTATCATAAAATTGTATAATATCCTGAGTTGGAAGGGACCTACAAGGAACCTTTATTTTTTTTTTTGTTTTATTTTTACACACTGAACAATAGGTATTGGAACAGTAAGTTATGTGAAAGAGTTACTTGGATCTACACCTTGAGAATTTGTCTTAAATGTTTGTGTATTCTTCAAGGTAACTTACATTATTTATATTTTTATTTCTCTAAGTTTTGGAGCCTCTATAATACATTTTTTAAAGTCATTTGCATATGAAGTAACTAACACTTGACATCTGGTAAAAGTAAACTACATGGACTCACAGCTGTAGAAAAAAGCTTTTCTTCTGAGTTAGCTGTTCCTTTGGACTGCTCATCCCTCCATATGGAAGAAACAGAACGTCATATTTAAAGACACTGCATAATCCAATTTCTATTTTGACCTATGTTAATCTCCCTAGAAATTTATAAAGGTTTTTTGATATGTAGGGCTGTTCGAAAATTGGGCCTCTTGATAGATATCTCAAGTACAGTGGTTACTTTCTTATATTCATATTCTGAATACAGGTTTTGTTTTCTTTGTAAAACCCTGATAAATAATAGGATTTTTGTTTAAATAAGAACCTGTGCTGGGATGTAAGGTGCTGTCATCCATGATTAACAGAACAGAAACAAAGCTGCTTGTTGCTATGTTGTTGTTACTTTTATTTACTTGGTAAATATTGGAAGGGGATCAGTCATTTCTTCCAACATTCCTGCCCTGCAGAGATTATTTTCTGGTGAAGGAAAAATAATCATCTACAATGCAGATGAGCATTAGTTATCCATTTATTTTAATCAAATTGTTTAAACCTGTTAATGAGTTTTATCTTTCAATAAATGAAGTGCCTTGTCTATTTTAATGCTGAATGTTAAATCTGCACTTTAATAGATAGAGTTCTCTTAACTTATAATTGATACGAATCTTGAGAACTTGGTTCATGTTCACAGCTGATAAGCTAACTGGCTGCTTTTAAGTACTAGTTTTAAATGTTCATTGTTAAGTGGTAACAAGTTCTCAGTCTTGTGCGATTTTCATAGTGTACAATTCCCAATAAAAGCAAATGTTTACTGAGTACTTAGCCCCCAATACTTTTGAGTTTTTACCAGCTGACACGCATATTCAAATGCGGACCATTTTAGAAGTATTTGAGAGTAAATCCATAGTGTTTCAGTTATCCAGTTAGCAGTTTTGCAGCTAGCTGGACCAATAGAACACCATGAGGAAGTAAAGGTGGGTTTTTTTGTAAGCAGAGGTGAAAAGGTAAGCCTCTTTACCATTATTTCTCATTCATTATTTGCAATGGTCTGGACAGCAGTCTGAGAAAACTGTGGAAAACAGGATTTGAGGTGGATTTGTTTTATTTCTGCAGCTTAGTTACGTTGTTAAAACCCTAGCATGCCTAACTGTAACAAGTTTAAATAGGCTATATTAATATGGTAATCCATAATGAAATGATTACTAACTGAAGTTTTCCATATTTAAAGATACAAAATTACAGATACGAAAGCTGTGTGAGGAAACAGGCTAATTACTGAAGTTAGAGAGCTTGTTTTGTTGTTGGATTGTGCTCAGTATCCATGCAAACTTGGGCTTTGAAACTCAGGGGAAGACTCACATCTTTATGAAACTTGTCAAGGTACTATTCTTTGTCTTCTAAAACACATGGCCAGAATAAAGCAATGTGTAGAAAACTTCCAGAATCAGTTCACCTTTCAAAAAGAAAATTGATTAAAGACAATCAAGGTAAGATTTTTTTTTTCTTTCCTACATTCCAAGATTAGTTTTGATCGCAGTTTTTTCTGAAGCACACCTGGAATTTTAGGTTACTGATATATTCATACAGATGCTTTTCACTTGTGTGGGATCCACATTCTGCTGGATAAAATGCATAAGAGATATGAAAGCATTAATGAAAAAGTATTAAAACTTTAATAAATACACAGTGAAGATAAGACACTGTCATCAAGAATCTTTTTAAACACAAAAGCTATTTGGTACAAAAATGCATTTTAAACATAGCTTCCACTTATTTTCAGAGAAGGGCACTTTTTTTTTTAAATTATTGTATGCAAACATAATTGAGTCTGAAGTTATTTCCATTACCTTTTTAGAGTCTTAACAACCATTAGTCTAAACCTTATTAGATCTCATCCACTGAAAAGGGTAGAAAGAACTGGCCTATTAGATGAGATGCTATGTTGAGATTAATTCCTGTCTGAAAATGGGTATGTCACTTAAACCTGCTCTGCAACTCACTCCTTATTTGCAAGACTATGATAAATTATTATTATGCCTATCCCATAGATAATGGCAAAAAGCTATATAAATACAGGCTTACATGTTCCAGTTGTAAACACTGAGTAGTACCTAGGTGGACCTCAGATCAACTGGTATGTTTCTGGACAGACCTTGTCAGACTGAACGGGGTTGACATTCTTTTGTTTTTCTGAGGAGACACCTCTGCTATTAATTTAGCCTGCAATTCAGAGCAGTTGATTATGTACCGCCTTTCCCTTCAAAGCATTTCTAGCTTCTCTCTGCGTAGGTGTGCCCAGTGTACAGCCTTCTCAGGAGTGACAGTAGAATCATTAACAGTTCTGATACTCTAAATGAAGTTTCTGCATAGAAACCATGCAGGACGTATGCAAAGACAACAATAAGATTATTTGCCTTTCAAATCACATGCTTCTGCAAGCAGTCCCCAGATTTGAAATGCTTACATTTAAATTACTGTTCCCCATTCAAACATCAACAGTTTTAGAGCAGTCTGCTCTTACCAAATGAACTACTGATTCAGTAATAATTCAAGAGAGCATCATCTTCTGAATCATCCTATCCTCCTGTGCTATGGGAGGGTTACAAAGCAATAGTCTAACTTGGTTTAGTTTTGAGATTTCGTGAACTGATTAAGTTGCTCTATAAAAAAGTAAATATCTTTCACTGAATACAAGCTAGTTATTTTTCAGTCAGCAGTACAATTTTAGATATTTAATAAGCTGATTTGTTTTTCTGTATTTAAAGATCTTAGTTTACACTTAAGTTTAAATTTTTTCCTCATAGAATTAATCTAACATGTATCATCCAATAGAAAGACAGCTTTGAGACAACCCTCTCTATTCCATGAATGGAGTTCCCTTCTGCTCTCTGATAGAGAAGTAATATTCCTACTTATTCCTAAAAAGTAACATTCCAACTGCACAAGTTTAAAAACATAAAATAAAAATACATGTTTTCATAACACCAGCATATATCCACAGTTGTTTAATAATATCATTTCATATTGCACAGTACTCCAGCAGTTTTTCCTGTAATGGAAAAATAGTTTCAAAACTGGTAGTCAGGCAGTAGAAGTCAAATTATGTAGAGATTGCCCGTTACTGATATCCAGGAAGTGGTAAGTGCTGTCCTTCTTTTGCTTCAAAAAATGTGTAGGAGAGGGTGATCAAATCAACTTTTGCCATTTTAGGGTCCTCTGCAAATTCTGGATCAATGTAGAAAAAGACAGGCATGTCTACTTCCTCTTGAGGATTCAGACGCTGTTCTTCAAAACAAAAGCACTGCAGGAGGGAGGAAAAAAATAATTAGAAAATATGGTGAACTTTTTCCCTGCCAAAGTAAGAGATTTTATTTTTTTTAAATCAACTCCCCTTCCCTGTATGTCTCTAAAACCTAAGGAAGGATCATCCATACAAGCAAGAGGACAACAATTCTGTTCCTCTTGTGTGACAGGAAAAAAATTAGCTTTAATGAAATGTCTAAAAGCACAACTTGTCCAGGCTAGCTCCAATGATTACTGCCTGCCCACAAAGTAAGTTGTACTTAATATCATATACTTGGGAACCACTTTAGTTGGACACATAGTGAAGTTTTTTATGCAGATAAGTCTAAAAATGAGCAGATGCACTACCATTTGAAAATTCTAAGATATTTTTTTAAAATGTTGATACATACAGAGTAAAATCCAGAATTAAAATTAGGAAAAAAAAACAATTGTCTCAGACTTACTTGTATTTTATTGAAGTACTGTCCTGCTTCAAAGGGCACTACATTATAAGTAGAGATTCCAATTATTGGTTTGTCAGTAGGATTTTTCGCTTTATAAAAGGCCAGTGCAGTCTCTCCTGGTACCACCTGTATGAAGTAATTGCATGGTGACTATTAATACCCTGCAGCCCTCCAGAGTCCTTTAGAGTTCAGGTAGGTTGACTTCATCTTCTCTTTTGCCATTTCAAATTGATTACTCCACTATTTCACAAACATTTTGCTTATAGACAACTCACCCACATTATCAATTAAAAGCATCAGCGACATTACATGTGTGCATTTTGAATCTCAGCCGGTTTGCCACTGAGGTGTTGTTACTCTCAGCAGTTTCTCAGCATGCAGAGCTATTTTAATATGGGGATTTATACACAGCAGTCCCTTTTGGTAGCTTGATGGAAGGGTCAGGGGCAACTACCATTTAACCAAGAGAAATCAAAAGTTTACAGAAACCCTTTGATTGCTGTGACAGGGGCCCTGCCTTCCCAAGCAGTGCTGGGGACGCAGCCTGCAGGGTAAGCTCTGGGGCTGGCCCCAGCTGTGTTTTCTTCCAGATCAGCGCCCAAACGCACAAACCGAGGGCCCTGCAGGATCGGGACGTGAGGCGACCAAAGCGCCTGAGGCAGAACCCGAAGCCTCCGAGGCGCCTTTGTGAGTACGTTAGAGGAGGGACAGAGGGGAGGAAACCACTCACGTAGATTTCGCTCTGCTGCGGCCTGAAGTTCCACTGGAGGCTGGAGTGCACGTCGGCGTTGAACGTGACCTTGACGACCCGCTCCTTCACCGCCTCCATCTCCTCGATCCGCGCCGCGCCGCGCCCCGCTCCCGTCGTTCCCCCCAGCCCGGTCGCCTGGGCAAAGGCAAAGGCCGCGCTCAGCCCCGCCGCTCGCTCCCCGAGGGGAGAAGGCGGCGGTCGGGGCCCCCCCGGTACCTGGCAGTAGAGGCGGTAGAGCGGCACGGCCGCGTACGACATCCCCACCATGCCCACGGCGGCGGCGGCGATGTAGGTGAGCGCCGTCCGGTTCCGCCGCCGCCATTCCTCCTCCTGCCCGCGGGTGAAGGGGTTGGAGCCCCGCAGCCCGCGGGCTCCCCGAGGGGCCGCCGCGCCCCGCCGCGTGGCCGCCCACAGCCCGTACCGAGCCCCGGCCGCCAGCCTCGGCGGCGCCCACCCCAGCGCCGCGGCCCAGAGGCAGCGCGGCCCCAGGGCCAGCCCTAGGCGGCCACCGCCGCCCGGCCCCATCCCGCTGCCGGGCCCCTATCGCGAGATGGCGGCGGGGCCCGTGCCGCGCTCCGCCTCCACACCGCTCCTCTCCGCCCGCGGGGCGGCTGCTGGGGCCGGCTCCGCGCCTCACGGAGCCGGGGAGGGGAGAAGCGGGGAGGCGGGGGCCGCCATCGCGCCGCTGAGGGGAGCGAGCGCCGCCAGTCGGGGGGTCGCTGCCGCTCGCCCCGCTGAGGCGCTGGGGCGGAGGCTCCGCAGGACCCCGCCGTTGTCTCTTCCCTTCCTTCCCCGGCCGGGCGGACCCCTCGGGCGTCGAGGTAACCGAGCCGAGCCCCGTGCCCGGGCTTTGTCTCCGAGGGCGGCCGCTGCCCTCCCCTCAGCGGGGGCTGGGGTCGCGCCTCAGGGCGCCGGGGCAGCCCCAAAGCCCTTGGAAATCGCCTCCGTGCTCCCGTCCCCCTCACAGCCCCGCTGCCCTGCTCCCGGTGCCGCTCCGCTGTTTGTTTAGATGCTTTAAAAGTAAGGCAGCGGTCAAGCCCGAAGCGAAGCCGTGCTTCGTAGCATTTCTCCTGTGGTTTGTGGCGTTATTTTTGTGCTTCCAGTGAGACATCTGAAAACTTCCACTGCTGTTTGCTGCAGGAAGACTTGGTGCCTTCCAAAACCGAATTTATCGCTTCATACAGGGAGAAATTGCCTGCATGAAGCAGTGTAACTGCGGAGGCTGATGAGGGAATACGCATTGCTCGGGAAGCAGTGATAGGGGAAACATTTGCCCCCTTTTATCCCTCGTACCATGTCTCCAGAGCAATGCTTTGTGTAGTCTTTGGCCATGTGAAGGTTTAGCCAGAGAGCTCATAAGGTCAGGAAATTTGCCAGCAATACAAACACGTATTTTTTGCATTGAGGCTTTTGCAGAAATGTTTCAAATGACCGTAAATCAGTACGTTTATGACTGCATTTCTTAAAACCTGTTGTGTGAGCTAATAAAAATGCAGTGCGTTGGTCCATAACCCCATCTTGCATGCCTTGTGGCCCATGTCACATGCTCCAAGTCAGAATTCCAGAGGTGCTGAATATTGGATGGCAAGTGAAAAAATGTGAAAAAGTAAGACACATGGAACACCTCATCTTGTCTATGGCAGTATTACACTTACCTAATCTTTGCTAGAAGAAAATCAGACGTTATTTTTACCTTTCACAATTATTTTACCCTGGTATTTGAATCTAAATTATATGTATATGTAAGTTTTTAATCACAGAGTGTTCAGTTTTACTTCTACTTCCTGACTCATGAACTAAAAGCCAATTAGGTTGTCAGATGTTTTGGTACAATATACAGCTAAGTCTGAATTATCTGCGTACTGTTTTCACTATTGAAGTGTGTCTAGTTTATCAGGAAAATTCTCCCACTGGATTTCTGCTAGTCAGTAATAAATAAGAATTAGTGCTTTAAAATAAACATAGCCATATACATTTCAAAAAGTGGTTTCTCCTTTTTTACAGCAATTATTGTCTTGGTTATGAGCCAGTGCTTCGTGTTTCAGAATTCTTCATTTTGAATTTTTAATAAAATTGAAGATGTCCAGTACAGATCCCCTAACAAACCTGAATAAAAAGTAAGTACTTTTTTTTCCCCCCCGCACATACAGGAATGCAAAAAGTACTGGCTTGTAATGTGAAAATTCTTGAAGTTTCCTTAGCAGGATCTTGTTTTGCTGGTGTCTTAAAGAAAAATAATTTTAGTATTGAAACAGTTTGTAGCAACTTCTTACAAAAGGTAACACCAATACTAGGAATTTAGACATAAAGGGAAGAAATAGCTCTTAAGCTTTTCGTCATGTTAATCAGAACTCAGTTTGAATTGGTTTTCCAGAGGTAAAGCCTCCCTGTAGAAATTTCTTAATATTTTTGAAACTATAAAAACATAGTTGTGTATAGTAAATGACTTCCTTGTGTGTATGGAATAACTACATCAGCATAACTCATTGAATGGAATTTATGAATTATAATGCATTATTTTTAAAGAATAATAAGTATGTCTAAAGTGTTTTGTTGCAGTGCTTTGGAACCATCTTTTTTTTTGTTGTTGTTTTTTGTTGGTTTTTTTTAAACAGTGCCATGGGATATGTAATGACAGTTATATTAATTCTATAAACCATAATGTTATCCACTTAAAAGTTGGGTCAAATTCTAAAGGACAAAGTTGGATTTAATCAGGATTGAAAATCATAAGTTCAGACTCCTCCCAGACTGCTAAATAATCATGCCAACACTGTCATCAAAAAACATAATTAAAAACGGGCACAGACTATTCAACTGTATGACTTTTATTGTGTTTATGCAATAGATTCCAGCTAGTAGTACTCAAAGGCATTGTCAAACAATTTAGCATAAATTTTGAATTATACCACTTTGTGAATAACTTGATTAAAAAAAAAAAAACACAGAGCATTTATTAAAAAAAAAAAATCTCCTTTTTCCTGGGATTTGAAGATGCAATTGCTCTGATTGTCATGGAATACAGGGTGTGTGATACAAAGGTATATCTCTAAAACAGCTATGTTTTGCTAGGTTCGTATGCAAGGTATATTGTATAATTAGATCGCTAGATCACTGTATTCCAAAAGCAGTTTATCAAATAAGAACTTAACATGAAATTGGTGCACAAAACCATACTTGAGTTACATCGTGATGTGAGACTGATTTTCTATACTTTTTTTTCTCGTCTGGGAGCCAATATCAATGTACAATGCTTTAAGAATGTAGTTGATTAGATGTTAACTGAGGCTTACCTAAACCTTAAATAATACATTTTTTCTCTACGTAAGGGGTTAGCCTCAAACCATTAATGTTTCTACTTAATTACAAGGTTGCTCAAGCTTTTTTTTTTTTTTCATGTTTAACAACTGCCACCTAATGATACATGTTTTCTTTTAATCTTTATGACCTAATCAGCAAAATACATTTTCGAATAATTAGTGTTTTGGGATAGATCAGAAGAAAGTGTTTGTTCATGCTGTCTGTTGGCTGTGTCATAACAAATTTTCACCTTTCAGGATTTGTGAACCTGAAAGGTTATGGTTGCATAACTCACTTGTATTGGGTTTTCGTGAAAGACCTTTTTTACTTATGATAAATGATCTTATGAATCTTGCTACAAAAGATTGTGCAGATGTTTTTTACTGTCTACTAAATTATCCTGTAATTTGTCTCGGTTGCTAAAGCATTACAAAATTTCTTTTGGGAAAGGTGAGTCATAATTAATAATGTTGCCAAAGAGAATAGTTTACTCACTGTTTGAAAACAAATCTTGGTCTGCTTGCTGCACAAATAACAAATAATTTAGTCTTGTTGGCAAGTACTAGATTTTATGGCGTGCTGTTGTTGTTTTTGTTTGTTTGGTTTTGTTTGTTTTTTGGTTTTGTGTTTTTTTTTTTAGCGTTACTGTGTTCCAGGCTCCTTCTAGGAGTAAAAAGTAATTTGAATTTGAATGTAATTTGAATGGGGAGGTTAATGCTACTTTATATATGCATATATTGTTGGGAAGTTTGTCATGTCTGGTTTAATAAAAATCAATTTTTATTTTTTAATAATGGGAACACATAGCCTTGAGTCATATTTTTATGTGTGTGTGTGTGTTTTTTGCAAAAAGCATGACACTGTGAGAAAGCTACATTGTTCTGAGTGATTTGTTTTGACAAATGCTCTATATACTGATACCACAAATTGAACTCCACTGGTGTTAAGAACAATTAAAATTTTGTGGTAGGGGAGCTGTTGGTATTTTACTGGCTGTCTTCTGTAACTTTGCCTGGAGCTAATCAAATTGATACGATGCTTAAAATATCAGTGACTTTTCCTTCTTTGGACTAACACCAGAGGCACTAGTAGAATTAAACTGATTTAGGAAAGACTACGAAGGCACACGTTTTCATCACTAAATGTATGTGAGCACTCCAAATGAGGCCATTGGGAGTCCTTCACTTTGCGGGCATCGGGAGGGCTGCTTTTATGTTCCCATTTTCCCATTTCCATCTCTGGACTTTGCCTCTGTCTCTTCTAGGTCACGTCACCTTTCTGCTTGTCATGGATTGCAGACACTAGGGACTGACCTCAAAATTCTTGAACACCACATAGCACATTGCTTATAAGCACAAATAGTGTTTTCTCAGAATGATTACATGCTAATAAAAACACAGTTACTACAACTTTAAAAAAAAAAAACCACAGTGCATTAGCTAAGCATATGCATTCCTTGCATAGCCAAGCTGTCCCACTGTGAGGCTCTAGACGCTGACAGATGCTGTCTCATCACAGGTTTACTCCCTGCTTTAGACAGGATTCATCTTTCTATTTAAAGGCCTTAGTGAGCACAGAATATTTGGTTTTCATTTTAAAATGCAATTTTTTTAAGATCTTTTAGAAAACAGGGCAGTAACGGAAGTGTAAACTGTGCTATAAATGTGAAAGAAAACAGTAGGTAATTAAACTGCTGTGAGAAGCTCAGAACTTCCAAAAACATGCATGTGTCTGCAAAGACCAAGCCTCAGGTCAGAACAGTCTTACCTCTGGAAATAATTGTGTAGTTTTTATTTTTGGAACTATTCTCAATGCAACTACAGAAAATCATTCCTTCAGCTGTTTTTCTGATGTTCCATTGGGTTTGTTGAAATAAGAAGGCACTGCAAAGCTTTGTGGCTTTTTTGGTTGCTCAAGGACAAAGGATTTTTGGAAGTAGGCATTGAAATGTAGGGGACTGTTTTTGAGGCTCATTTAGATTAAGAATGCCAATTCTGAGCGTTCACTAGGAAGTTAAAATGCTTTATATTTAAAAGAATAAGCCTCAGAAATGAAGTTCACGGATAATTTCTAGGAAAATGGGACTTAGAGAATCATATCTACTGTTCACCTGCTCATGCTTTAAAAATCATTAGGATATGTAACAAAATGCAGTCATTTTTTGTACCAATTTTACCTGCTTTCACAAAAAACAAGCATGTCAGTGTCCATTTCTACTGAAAATATATAGCCCAAGTTCTGTGTAAACTTCTGACTGTTGGATACTGAAAG